GACATGCTTCCCTGGGTTTGATTCCCTAGCATCAAGTAGGATCTCCTGAGCACTGCCAGGACAAATTCCTGAGCATAAAGCTAGAAGTAAGTCCCATGTACCTATTGTACTGCCACTATGGCCCATGAAATAAAAAAGAAAGAAAGAGAGAGAGAGAGAGAGAGAGAGAGAGAGAGTAAGTTAAAATGCACATCTCAGCTCCCACTTATGTATTGATGGTTCAGGCCATAGTATAGTAGCAAATGTGCTCAGAATACCAATGGGCAGGCCTGGAGTGAAAGTAGAGTGGGTGGATTGCACACAGCCAAACCAGGTTTAATCATCAGCACCCCATATAGTCCCTAAGCCCATCAGGAATGATTCCTGAGCATAGAGCCCAGAGTAAGCTGAGCATCACTGAGGATAGCCCAAAAACATCCCCCAAATACATACACATTTATATAATATACATTCATATATACATATGAATGTATATTATATAAAATTTATTATATAAAATTTGCACTATATATGTATATATATACACACACACGTATATAGTGCAAACTTAAGCAAGTTTTTGGCTATTTGCCTAATAATTTTATTGTTTAAATCTTTTTTGTATCAGAAGTAAGATAGCCAAAGTGAAAAGCTGATCTAATTTTTAAAGTATTATGTGAACAGGGCCAAAAAGGCAGTACAGTGGATAAGGCTTGCCTTACACATGGTCCACCTGGGTTCAATTCCCAGAACCCTATAAGGCCCCCAGACCTGCTAGGAGTGATCCCTGAGCCCATAGTAACCCTGCACACAGCTGGAAGTGACACAAAAACCAAAACTAAACAAACACACACACACAAAAATTATATGGAGGCCAGAGAAATAGTACAGGAGTTAAGGCACTTGCTTGCCTTGCAGGTGGCCAGCCCCTGTCCAACCCTTAGCACCACAAATGGTTCCCCCAAGCAATGCTGGTAGTGACCTCTGAACACAGAACGAGGACTGAGCCCTGAGTCCCTGAGCACTGCTGAGTGTGGCCCAAGACCCTCCTTTCAAAAGAGTATTGTCTGAATCACAGGGATAAATGAATGAATATCTAAAGGCACCATCACACTGAGAGATCATACACAGTCATGTATGAATTTGATAAGAGAGTATTGGCATGTAACTACTTATACATTTAACTGGTTCAATTTATTTACTTATTATTGAATCTCTGTGAGACCCTTACAAAGTTGTTCATGATTAGGTTTCAGTCATACAGTGTTTCGACACCCATCCCTCCACCAGTGTACATTTCCCAGCACCAGAGTCCCCAGATTCCTCCCATCTCCCCACCCCCACCCCACAGCCTGCCTCTATGGTAGGCACTTCTCTCTCTCTGCTCTCTGTCTCTCTGCTCTCTGTCTCTCTGTCTCTGTCTCTCTCTCTCTCTCTCTCTCTCTCTCTCTCTCTCTCTCCTTTTGGGCATTGAGTTTTGCAATAAAGCAGATACTGAAAGGTTATCAGGAATATCCCTTTACCTGCTTTTAACACTCAGTTCTTGTCCAGAATGATCATTTCCAGCTATTATGATCATATTGTTCCCTTCTCTATCTTACCTCCCCTTAGCCTCACACACACTTGTGGTTGATTCCAACCATTGACTAGTCTTCCTAGCCCCTATTTTCCCTGGCCGTGGATATTAGTCTTCTAATATATATGTTAGATCTAATAAGATCTAATATATATAACTGATATACATATTAGATATTAGATATTAGATATAATATATATATATAAATGTATGACTGTAACACTGCCATCCCGTTTTTTATCTATTTACTCAAGCAGGCGCCAGAAACGTCTCCATTCGTCCCAGCTCTGAAATTTTTTTTTTCTGATTGAAGCAGATTTTCTCCAAGTCTTTTATTATTATGATGATGGTTATGGTAATGATTTTTTTCTTTTTTTTTTATTAGTGAAACACCATGAGGTACAGTTGTAGATTTACAATTTTTTGTGCTTGGGTTTCGATTATACAATGATCAGATACCCATCCCTCCACCAGTGCCCATTTTCCACCACCATGGATAATATACCCCCCACCCCCATCCCCCCAACCCCCCCTGCCTCTGTGGCAGGGCAATCCCCTGTGTTCCCTCTCTCCTTTTGGGTGTTGCGGTCTGCAAAAGAGGCATTGAGTGGCAAACATGTTCAGTCCATAGTCTACTTTCGACATGCATCTCCCCTCCTGGGAGGATCCTCCAAACACCCTTTATTTGGTGCTCCCTTCTCTATCTAAACTGCCCTTTCCTCTAGGATACCCGGCTGGCCTCTAAGTTATGGAGTAATGCTCCTGGTGCTGATCTCAGCTATTCTTGGGTATTAATCTCATATTTTGTTACTTTATATCCCCCAGATGAATGCAATCTTTCTATGTCTATCCCTCTCTTTCTGACTCATTTGGCTTAGCATGATACTTTCCATATTGTACCACTTATATGTAAATTTCATAACTTCATCTTTTCTAACAGCTACATAGTACTCCATTGTGTAGTTGTACCAAAGTTTCTTTAACCAGTCATCTGTTCTTGGGCATTCAGGTTTCTTCCAGTTTCTGGCTATTGTAAAGAGTGCTCCAGCTCTGAAATTTTAGGAGCCTCTCTTTACTCTTTCCTGACACTGTCATATTGGAGGCTCTTTCAGGGTCAGGGGAATGTGACCCATTATTGTTACTATTTTTGGCATATCGATTACGCCACGGTTAGCTTGCCAGGCTCTGCTGTGTGGGCGGTATACTCTTGGTAGCTAGCCGGGCTCTCCAAGATATATATATATATATATATATATATATATATATGTATATATGTGTATATATGTATACATGTATATATATATATTTCCCTCTATGATTTGTTGCCTACTGTCTGAACCCCATCAAATATGGTGTGGTAATTATGGAAAATGGGTAGGGAGTGTCTTATAGTGTGTCCAGGAATATGTTCACTCATACGTGAGGCTTGGTCCGAGCGTGTGGAAAGCGGCCTGGAGCATGATGGTGGTTGGGTAGTGGAGATTGGCTACCAGGGGCTGGGTCCCTTGGGGCGGGGAGGGCTCTCACCCACCCCCCCTCTGGGGTGCTCCGAGTGAAAGCAGCTTGGCGCAGAGTCTTGTGGCATGGTTATGGGGGCCTCATTTTATGCTCCCTTCCGGGAGAAGCAGCCATGAGTTCTGGAGGATGGCCAATGAGGAGATTATCTGGCACCTGCAGGAAGTGGCTTATGGGTGTGACCCCTGGGTCACTGGAGACTGGGGGAAGCAGGCAGAGGATCTCTGCTCCTGGGTTCCATTGAGCCCAGAGTTCAAGGTCACAAAGTTCCTCATTACCTGGGTTCCATGGGACTTCACTCATGCGTGAGGTTCAGTCTAATATATGTATATATGTATATATATTCAGTTATTAAGTTATTATTATTATTCAGTTATTATTCCTTTGGCCAACAAACAACTTCTAGCCATCTGTAGGTAAGTATTATGCTAGAGAGTGAGAATACAATGGTAAGCCAGACAAACAAGATCCTACACCTGTGGAGTTTATAGTTTCATGGGGCAAGTATTGAACAAGAAATTAGGATGAAATTTCGAGTTCTGAGAGAGAAGAAGAGAAATGTCTGGATTATATAGAGCCTGGGAGCATACCATGTCACTGAAAGTAGAAACTAGGGTCGGAGAGATTGTGCAGGGATAAGGCATACCCCAGCATGCAACTGACCCTACTTTGATCCCCAGCACCAACTGGTCTCCTAAGCATCACCAGGTACAGTCCTGGAGACCCCAGACACCGGGGGGCCCAGGTAATCCCTGTCATCCAGGGCAGAAGCAGCACCACCTCCTCCAGCCCTCACATTGACTCACACGCTGAATTGACTAAAAACTCTTGAGAGAGGATCCTGGGTCTCCCCAGCACTGCTTGGGAGCCTCCCCTACCACAGTCCACGGTCCACGGTCCTCCCGTTGTGCATCGATTTGCTCAAGCGGGCCCAGTAACGTCTCCATCGTGAAACTTCTTGTTAGTGTGTTTGGCATATTGAATACATCACGGGTAGCTTGCCAGGCTCTGCCGTGCGGGCGAGATACTCTTGGTAGCTTGCCGGGCTCTCCGAGAGGGCAGAGGAATCGAACTCGGGTCGGCCATGTTGTCTGCGTGCAAGGCAAACGCCCTACCGCTGTGCTATTGCTCCAGCCCCTACCAAATTAATGAATTAAAAAATATGCCAGCCTAGGGTTGAAGTAATAGTACAGCAGGAAGGGCATTCGCCTTTCACATAGCCAACCCTTGTTCAATCCCCAGCATCCCACATGGTAACCGAACACCACCAGGAGTAACTCCTGAGTGAAGAGCCAGGAGTAACCCCTGAGCATTGCCACTGTGACCCAAAAAGCCTATATGTGTGTGTGTGTGTTCATATATACTGTTCAGCATGATCATTTCCACCTATTATTGTATATATATATTTAAATATACCAACCATACTCTTCCTAGTGCTCTCACTAGCCTATTTTCTTTCTCAGCACTAAGCATTCAAAAGTAAATATTGAATCCCTCATGCCCCAGGGCTATGCAGAAATAGGGCTACCCTGGCCGAAAGCATGGTCCTACAGAAAACGGTCTCTCTTGACATCAACCCAGTTAATGCTCATTTATAGCAGTAAGCTTCGTACCCAAAGAATGCTGGAGGGTGGGAGCATTTGCCAGGTGTCTGGAGGTGGGACAACTTAATGGCTCTCTCTTCAAGTGGGATAGGGTCTAAGGTAAGCTTGAAGCTATCTGGAGCACAACTGTCATTTTCACTGCCCCAAGGAATTGGAGAGTGACTGTTGAGAGGGTTCTGGAACTTGAGTAGCTCCAAGCATTGGGATGATACAAATGGGTGACAGACAAGTAGCAAATTGTGAAATTCTAACCATCAGCAAAATAATTCTGTATCTTGTGAGGCAGATTTGAATCCTATTCTAAAGAACTTCTTTTTCCATTTCAGAATGTCCTCATTGTTGAGGTAAGCTGACTTTTCCTTGTGCTCATTAAAAGAAACCAATGGTAAATTTCAAAACAGACACCTTGTAAGCAAAGTGACCGAGGACTTACCAAATTTCCACTGGAAGGAGCCTCTCCAAATTTATTGAAGCCAGCTAGAACCACTAGATAGAAAATAACAAAAATAATACTAGAAATCTGCAATAAAAACTGCTTGGTACTTGATTTTATTTTATATCTAAGGTAGTTGATTTTATTTTATATCTGTTTAAGCTGATGCTTATAAACATAATGCACAAAAGGGAAAGGAGAGAGAGAGAAGGAAAGAAAGTGCCTGCCATAGACAGAGGCTGAGGGTGGGGGTGGGATGTTGGGGGACGGTGGGAGGGAAACAGGGATATTAGTGATGGGGAATATACATGGTGGAGGGATGGGTGCTGGTTCATTGTATGACTGAAACCTAATCATAAACAGCTTTGTAATGGTCTATCTCATGGATGTTCAATAAAAAAAATTTTTTAAAGTGGAGCTCATGCCCGCTTCAGTCAGCTTAGTCAGTGGCTGAATAAACAGCAGTACTCCTATATTAAAAAACAAAAACTGATGCTTATATCTACTTGTGAATGAGACAGTTTCACAAAACAAAACAATGAAAAAAACAAAAAAAAATGGCCCACTTCAGTTTACTTAAATAGTAAGTCAACTGGAATTCTTTTCACCCTTTTGGGATTTTGTGGGGGTTGGGTGGCTAGGTGAGGCAGTGGTCTGGTGGTGCTTGGAGGTCGTGCAATGTAGGGGTCAGGGAATCAAACCAAGGTCTCAGACATGCAAAACGTGTGCTCCAAACCTCTGAGTCTTCTCAGGGTTCACAGTCTTCCCACCCTCAACTCAGTGTGACTGCAAATGAGCTCTAATGACATTGACCAGTTTTCCCTTCTGCATCCAAACTATCAATACCACCAGTTTAAAAAATGGCAATTGAGGAGGTGGAGCAATAGTACAGCTGGTAGGGAGTTTGCCTTGCACGCGGCCGACCCGGGTTCGATTCTCAGCATCCCAAGTGGTCTCCTGAGCACTGCCAGGAGTAATTCCTGAGTACAAAGCCAGGAGTAACCCCTGTTTATCGCCGGGTATGACCCAAAAAGCAAAAAAATAATAATAAATAAATTAAATTTTAAAATGGCAATCGAAAGGACATTGCATGCCAGTGGGTTGTCTGTTTCTAAAACAAGGAGAAAGAAAGAATGGGCCCTCCTGCCACACTGCAAATGGCCTCTGAGAGTTCAGGCACCCGCCTGGGCATTCTCATCTAGGAACTCCCAGGGTCCCTTTTTCAAGCTTTTGTTACACAATTGCTGTGCCGTATGTATCTGCAGTTTCTTCAGGCTCAAAATAACCCGTGAAGTAGAGCTTCGAGCCAAATGAATTGCCCAACTCAGGCTAAATTCAGACCTGTTGTTTTGATAATCAGCTCTTGACAGCTGATTTCTGTCTCGAGGACAATACAGTTCTGCTACCCTCACCCGCCTCATTGTGCAGCGGTCCTTGGTGGGAACGAGCTGCAGCCGCTGCAAGCTCACACCCTCAGAATTTCCCCGCCAGCCAGTCCAGCTGCGTCCCAGACACATGCCACTTCCCAGTCAGTCTCCCATTGATTGGGGGTGGGGGTGGTGACTTGGGGGTGGCAGTGCTCCATCGGGTGTAATCAAGTGCCCAACCCATGTTGTCCATAAAAATTCATGAGTTTCCTATTGGGTTCCATCACCTTGGGGGCAAATTTTGCCCCTGGATGTGCCTGCACAGATCTAAACAGAAAAAGGCTCTCCAAGGGCTGCATTTCGCCTTTGAACTCAGCTTAGGGATTCCAGAAAGTCAACAACAGAGCCCCCTCAGCTTCTAGAAAGAGGCACCTCTGGGGCCAGAGCGATAATACAGCATTTGCCTTGCACGCGGCCACCCCAGGATCAATCCCCGGCATCCCATATGGTCCCCTGAGCATTACCAGAAGTAATTCTTGAGTGCAGAGCCAGGAGAAACTCCTAAGTATCACCAGGTATGACCCAAAAAGCCAATAAGTAAAACAAAATAAAATAATTTGGTTTTAGAAAGAGGCACCTCTCTTAAAACCAAGACAAACACACAGAAAACCTGCCTCCACGCTGATTCCATTTGGATGGCAATTCTAGTGATAAATCATTATGGCAAAGGAATAGAACCATCTATCTTGTATGAAAAAAAAATGAAAATCTATGCTCTATACATTTGGTTGAATTTCTTTTTTGGGTCATACCTGGCAATGCTCAGGGGTTACTCCTAGCTTTGCACTCAGGAATCACTCCTGGCAGTGCTCAGGGGACCATATGGGATGCCAGGAATTGAACCTGGGTTGGCCGTGTGCAAGACAAACAGCCTACCCTACTCTAGCCTCTTGGTTGAATTTCTTTGTCCTCTTTGCAAAGGATGTCGTGGGCACGGGGAGAACCATGAGAGCACTGCTGAGCCGCATCAAGAAATACGAGCCCAACATGATTAAGGTGGCCAGGTGGGTAAGAACATCACTGCATCTAATCCAACATGCCATCTGAAACCAGTGGCCCTCTGCTCTAGACTTTGTGGTTTGGCCATATTCAACAAAAAGTTCACTTGATGGCTAGCCTGGGAGGGAGCCACAGGGAAGGGGACAGGCTGGAGTGGGAGGCTGAGTCCCTCTTCCCGCTGCCTGTGTGAGCCCTTCACAGGAACAGCTGACGGAACATGGGAACCAGCACCCCCATCCCATGGCTTTATTCAATCAGCGTGGGAATTCCAGGTCTCTGGGAAGGTCTCACTTGTGCCTGGGGAATAGCATGTACTTGACTTGTATCATTTCATGCGGCTTTGTTCTTCTTGCAAATTTATCCAGATTTTTTTTTCTTTTGACCTATGGTTTCCCCATCCCTCCCCCACCCCCTTTTCCTTTTTTTCCTCTCGAATGGTAGTTTGCTGGTGAAGAGAACACCTCAGAGACATGGCTTTCGACCTGACTGTAAGTGTTGGGAGGTTCTGTTGGGTGGTATTTTATGGTTCAAAAGTTGCTGTTTGATGGTATTCCCTATGAAGTGGAAGCTAAGTGGGACAGTCCCAGAGCCACACCAGGGAGATCAAACCCGTCCCAAAACCCCTAATGTTCTCATAGCCTCTTTTCCAGTAACTCTTTATGCACTAGATAGTTGGTTTGGTAGGTTTCCTAGGGAGTTGTTTGTTTTTGCATTGGATATTTTGATTTGGAGATTTTCCCTAATTTCCTAACACCAAAGAACACAGCTAAGAAATTTCAACTGAAGTAGACGTACTTCCCCACTCCCCACCCCACCAAATGACTCGAGTGCATGAGATTCCCACTGGTTGGACACAGAACAACTACTAAAGGTTTAGAGGATTTTCATATTGTCCCCAGGAACTAACCACTCAGCACAATGCTGACATTGAACAAGTCTGTTTGTTTGCATTTGTTTTTTTGGGCCACCTATGGCGATGCTCAGGGTTACTCCTGGCTCTGCACTCAGGAATCACTTCTGCCAGTGCTCAGCGAACCATATGGGATGCTGGAGATTGAACCCAGCTTGGCTGCATGCAAAGCCAGGCGCCTTGCCCATTATACTATTCCGTTAGCCCCAAACCTGACCTTTTAAAATTGAGTTAGTTTTGGGGTCACATCATCGATGCTCAGGGGCAACTCCCAACTCGGTTCACAGGATTCACTCCCTAGTGGTATCCAGAGCAGCATGCTGGGTCAGAAACTGAACTCAGGCCTCATGCACTCAGCCTGTTGAACTCTTCCCCCATTCTAACAAGCCTGAATTTCAAAACCTCAAGAAAGGGAAATTCGAGATCTCCACTGCCACCTCCAAACAGGAGTTTAATAACACAGAATCAGCAGAGCAAGTATCGCCAGATACTATCTTCACACTTGACCTCAAACATGTGTTATGGAAGCCTTACTTCCTCTGGGTACTTTCCTGCCTTTTCTCCACAGTCCCAAGAATTCTGATGCCAGATAGTGTAGAGGAGCTACTTGATTATTTATTATGCTAGCAATAGAAGCAACTTCTTTCTTCACTTGCACATACAGACTTCAGCTTGTTTTTTTTTTTTCTTTTTAACCGTTCTTTGCTCTAAAGCCTTGGGTTTGAATTTGACTGGAGTCCTCAGGAGCAAGCTGCACCAGCGTGAGAGCAAGCATAGAACACTCTGGATGGTTATTGTGCCCGTGACATTTCCACAGTGACTTCTTTGTCTCAAAACAAACTTCGTTCCTTTGCAAGATGTACTAGTGCTAAACACTCTCTGTTCTGGGCAGACAGATCAGAGAGCTTGTTCCTGTTCGGTGGCAGGCTGAAGGAATAGAATCTGGTTGTCGTTAAGTTAGAGCGAGAAATCTAAGGAAATAGTGTAGCTAGTGTATAGATGAGATTTTTAACTGAAGTTGAAATGCAGCCACTTCTGAAGTTGAAATATATCCACTTCTGACATAACCAACTAATTACTCATTTTTTATGTTTCTTATATTTACAACATTCAGAAGAGTAATTGCAGCTAGCACCAAAAAAGGTTATGATGTGCCTTGGCACAACCATCAGAGCATTATTGTTTCTTTTCTTTTATCTGGAGGGGTGATGGTTGGAGTTGGGGTAACACCCAGCATGCTCGGGGTCCATGCTGAGAATGGAACCAGGGTCAGCTGCACACCAGGCCAGTGCTCGAATCCCTGGAATTCACGAAACGATCTTTGAGTTAGATTGGAATCTGTTGCCTTTTTCTCTCTGAATTTGTGAGGGTTTGTACCTTTTGTTCCTTTCCCATAATTGGCTCTTTCCAATATGCCCAATGACATCTTTTATAGACTCTGACATCTTTTCTTTCACTCTCACTTTTCTTTCTTTCTTTTTTTTCTTAAGACATCTGTGGTTAGGAGAGAACAAGCAGGCTTATTACTGTGATATGTAATGCAATTCCCTAAAAATTCAATCTGCTACCTCCAGCACACTCTATAAGTAGGAGCCAGTTGATTTTTCCATGTGAAAGCATTGAAAGAGCATAAGATCAAGGTGTTGGTGAATAATGAAGAAAATGGTTTTTGCCTCCCTCTAAGTCCACTGGCTTTTCCATAGCCCAGTCATAAAAGTACATCTCTCCATCTGCAATACAAAACCTAGAATGTCTAAAAAAATCACTTGAGCATAGGTTTATGTATTCTGTTTTCAGATCTTTGAAAGAGAGAGTCTTGAGCCTTTGGTAGTGGTGAAGGTGCAGTAACTTCATATATCAAAATTATGAAAGTTAACTCTATAGTAACCAGGTTATCCAAATTTCAAACAACAACAACAAAAATAAATCTTTGAAGGAGAGCTATAGTCTGTTTCTTGAGGATGCTCTCCAATAAATGTCGTCTTCCTTTCCATCACTTCTTCCCTTGCTTAACCTAACGACCATGTGCTTTGTTTAAATTCATTTCTTCCAGACCAAATGTGTGGCTCCATGGTAGAACACATGTCTCACATGTGTGAGGCCCTAAGTTTGATTCCCTACTCTGCAAAATATAAATAAGTAACAGTAATTAATAAATCTATTTCTTTTCATATTTCCCTCAATGAAAAGAGAGCGAATGCATTGCTAACTACATTGTTAGTTCACTATCTGTGTTGTAACTCAAAGAATAACATCAGGAGTACAGGGATGTAATTCAGTGATGGAGCATTTGCCATACATAGGGGAGAACCTGAGGTTGATCCCTAGCAGGAAAGAAAGAAAGAGAGAAAGAAAGAAAGAAAGAAAGAAAGAAAGAAAGAAAGAAAGAAAGAAAGAGAGAAAAAATAAAGGGAAAAAGAAAGGGAGAAAGGAAGGGAGAAAGGAAAAAAGGAGGAAGAAAGAAGTAAGGGGAAGGAAGGAAGGAAGGAAGGAAGGAAGGAAGGAAGGAAGGAAGGAAGGAAGGAAGGAAGGAAGGAAGGAAACCGCACTACCAAACTACCATTAAAATAACCATTGTCATTTTTTTTCTCAAGCTAAACATCCTCATTTCCTTTCATCTTGTCACCAGTTTTGATTGTCCAGCCCCTTAACCAGTAAATATTCAACTCTCACAGTACTCTCTGCTCAAATTACACTTTATGCTTTTCCAAGTTTGTCTGTGAGCGTTATATCACCCGATCTGCTTGCTCTGGAACAGCAGGGCTACCTAACTGCCTCCCGCAGACTTCTTGCTACCCAGTGGGCTGCCTGAGTCCTTTCTCAGTTCCATACAGTAGTCGTGCTGTCACTTTTCCTTGTATGTTTGCCCACGTGTGCTGTCTTGCTGAGCACTCACTCGGGTCTAAGTCCCTAATGAACTCATCCTATGCCTTGCTTATCACCCTTATGATTAAGTTCTGCCTCAGAAGAATGGAATGCATGGTTTAAGTGCCAAAAATAGAGCATATGCTGATGTTACCTAAATTTTCTCTCTTTTTTCTCTCTCTACTTAGATACTGGATTTGAGATTCCAGATTTATTTGTGGTGGGCTATGCCCTAGACTACAATGAATATTTCCGAGATCTGAATGTAAGTCTTGCATGCAAATCCTTTGCCCCTTCTCTCCCACTTTTCACAAGAAGTTTACAGTGACTTTGACTTAACAAATCACTGACATAGTAGTGATGACTTGTCATTTATTGACTATCTTCGGTATCAGGAATATTCAACTCACTCTGCACTTATAATCCCAATTAATCCTCACCCATGGTCATGTTAGGATGGCAGAAGCAATTCTAATGATCTCTGTTTTGAATTAAAGAAATAAGGAACCAAACCACAGAATTATGGAATGATTTTTCTCCATAGTCCTTGATTATCCCCCCATCCCCACTCCAACCATGATTATAGGCACATTCAGCCATCTGTTGTTTGGGGGTCAGTATCTGAAATCTAGAAGCTACCAATTACAGGGTGTGGCAGCTCAGAACCATGCCCCTTTGGAAGTATCACATCACCACATAGATACCTCTAGCTGTGTGCCCCTGATCAGTGCTGAAACATCTTACTCCAACTCTGTTGGTGCCAAGCAGATTCTCCCTCATCTCTCCTAAGAATTAGAACCTTAAAGTCCAAAGACACAGATCCAGGGTTTGGGGCCTGCAGCCACTGAGCAAGCAGAGATGCAGAGTGAGAGTCCAGAGGCTCATCAGCAGGAGTTGGAGCAGATTATCTGTTCCCTGGTGAGCTACCCTAGAATCCTACCAATACATCACCCATTTTTCCTTATGTTAGCCTCTCTCCATTTTTGGTTCTTAAAATATTCTGTTCACATTTCTTGCTACCCCGGAAAAGTCTAATAAAAACCCACATTGTGTTCAGCATGGCTGTTTTCCCATTCACTCAGAAAGCTACAACCTTCCCAGTCGGAAACTTCTGTCTCCAACATGGTGAATGCATTGTTTATTCTTCATTTCTGGTGGTTGCAGACCCAACCCTTCATATGGCCCCTCAAGCCCACCAGGAGTAAGTCCTGAATGAGCCAAGAGTAACCCCTGAGCAACACTGGGTGTCCCCCCTCCCCCAATCACAACAAAACAATGAAGAAATGTTTGCCCAGCATTTGAATAGTTTGCTTTCGTTTGAACACACATACCTGTATGTGTGCGCACACACGCACACACACATACACACACATAAATGCACACACACCTCTTTAGAAAAACATGATATAGAAGTCCATTGAAAGATGGCATTGTTCTATTATCATTGCCTCACATTTTCTGTGCCTAATATTTTGTTACAGCAGTGTGTCCTTTCTTGTTTCAGCACATATGTGTGATCAATGAACATGGCAAAGAAAAATATCGAGTTTAAAGAAGTATGTTCTCACCATCGAAGTTCCAGGTAACAGCCAACTTACGACTGTGTTTGTCACCCTGGAAATTCTCACTCAGAAAAATACTGAAGGACGCAGGGCAGTGGGGAAGTGTCTTAATGAGAATGCTTTCTTTTCAGAGATTATCATATAAAGAGGATTCGGAGGTTCCGAAGGAAAACAAGAGCAATGCTCTTATTTAACTTGTTCCAATTTAAACATTCCACTTTGTGACTCATGGGTTCTATCTGTCTGCCTCAATCTCACACGAGACCTCCTTTTGTTTGATAGTCACTCTGCTTGATTATTGTAGCCCCTCCTAGTTACTCAAATATTAAATATTTCTCAGTTTGTCTGTGTACTCCATTTTGCTAATATTTTTACCACCTTAAAAAGCTGGGGGGTTGGGGTGCTAAGCTCAAGATCCAGAAACTAATGCAACTACCTTTCCCTGCAGAAAAGGGAGAGAAAGGACAATCTAATATAAATTTGTTTGTGCAATCTGGCAGGCCATCATTATCTGCTTTGACAAAGCCTTTCTGAACTGCCTTCTACAGTGAATCTTAATGATGTTATAAAATGAGCCCTTGCTGGCAGCTCTTGATTGGAGCTTCCGGTATGTGATAACAGTATGTCATGTATGCATGGATGTACTCAACTGTATTTAATCCTCTGAATTTTAATTAGAAAAAAAAAACAATGGTAGCATGGCACTCACTTCTAAGCTGCATCCTTTTTTCATGTGGGACATGAACAAATGGCAGAATTGATGGGGGTGAGGGGAGTGCTTTCACGGCTCCAAACTGAGCAAGTGCAAGTTTTCTCTTTTATTTGCATCAAAGGATGAATACTATCATGCATTATCCTAAACATTAGCCGAGGTGTAGCTGTTTTATAAGTGGCCCTATAAGACTGATAATATAATCAAATATTTTAAAAAATCAAGCTGACTTCAGAAAGTTTTTTACTAACATTTTTTAAATGTTTACAGTTTTATGAGATGTTTTTCTATTTTATAGGGATTTCCATTGGAAATTAACTTGAGTGCCAGTAGCCGTTCTGTTCTCACTTCCTAAAAGGAACAAATACAAAATAAATAACTAAACAGCCTTTGTTTGGTTCTGAACTGTATGTGGCGTATTGTTACTAGGTTCTAGCTTCCTTTAAACTAATAAAGAATAAGAAAACTTGTTATGTTTCATAACCGCCTACTGTTTTTCTTCCGCCTTGATATTTTTATATACTTTCAGTCATTTAAATGCGTGTGAGCCAGTAGCTTAAATATACTCTTGCATGTATCTACCCTGTGGCTTTATTTTTGTTAACCTGGATACAATCCAATATATGCCCCTACTCTAAGCAAACAATTAGGCCAGGCTTGGTCTGTAGCTTGTTTCTTCCTCTTTCAGCTTGTTTGTAAGGACAAGGAGTTTTAGTTGTTAAAGATTTCCCTACATATCTTTGTTCTAGTCAGAGGAGCAAATAAACCACACCCAGACATCCTGAGGGAGAAATAGTGAAGGGAATTCCTTTTGGTTTTGTTCCATGCACAACACTATATCCAAATTAGAGACTGATCTTTCTAACTGGCCAATTTCTTGAACTGTAGCACTGTAGTACTGTCATCGATTTGCTCCAGCGGGCCCAGTAACATCTCCATTGTGAGACTTGTTGTTACTGTGTTTCCCATATAGAATACCTCACGGGGATCTTCCCCGGCTTTGCCGTGCGGGTGAGATATTCTCATAGCTTGATTTCTTGAACTACCAAAATTAATGTTTTAAATATAATTTTTGCTAGGCCATATTTTTGGCAGAGGACCTAGAAAAATCCAAACATATAATTGATTTTAAATATAAAACTATCCATAAAGTACCTACCTATTATCAATGTGCTTTCTTCAACATGTTGAATTTTATTAACTAACATTACTACTTTTGAGAACTCTTAAAAAAGAAATTGATCTGGGGCTGGAGCTATAGCACAGCAGATAAGGTGTTTGCCTTGCACACCAGGAGTAATCCCTGAGTTCAGAGCCAGGAATAACCCCTGTGCATCACCAGGTGTGACCCAAAAGCAAAAAAAAAAAAAAAGAGAGAAATTAATCTACTTATCAAGATTCCGAAAACTTGTGACAGTTAATACAAAAAGAGAAAACAATCATTAAATACATAAGCTCTTTAGTCATTCCTGCAGAGTTGTCTTATTAGACAATAATTTAACAATGATAACACAATATCACTGTCACCACTGTCCTCCCATTGTTCATCGATTTGCTCGAGCTGGAGTAACACAGAATATTATCTTGGGAAAAATGAAATCTAGCATTTCCTTTCATCTTATAAAACTCTTTTTTAAGGGGTTGGGAGTTAGTAACTTCTGATGGTTCTCAGATGTTACTCCTGGCTCTGTGCTCAGGGATCAGTCCTGGTGGTACTTGGGGATCATATTCATACTGGAAATAAGGGTCAGTCGCATGCAAAGCAAGTGTTGTAACACCTATGCTATCTCTGGTCCTCCTCTTACAAAACTCTTATTTATTTGCCCCTTTTATTTTTTTTTTCCCTCTAAATCGAAAATGTAGGACCAGGAGATAAGATAGCAGTTAAGTGTTTGCCTTTCATGTTGCCTACCTGGGTTAGAAACCCAGCCCAGCATATGATCCCAAGCAATGCAGCCGGGACCCCTGAGCATAGAACCAGAGAGATAAAACTTGTCTCATCTTGAGTTTAACAAGACATTTTGTTCTATCATATTCACCAATAACCTGACAAAAATGACTTGTCTATCTAACTACTAGTAAATGTACAAATCCTCATAATAACATTTTTAAAAGAGCTATCAGGGACCAGAGGGTAGTACAGGAGCTAGGGTGCTTGTTTGCCTTGCACAAGGCTGACCCAGGTTTAATCCCTGGCACCCTCTATGTTTCCTGATTCCTGCCTGGACTGAACGCTGAGCACAGAGCCAGGAGTAGGCCCTGAACACCACCAGGTGTGGCTCAAAACCCACACACAAACATTTTTTAAGTATGCCTACAGACACTTTTGCTTTGGCTTAGTTTGGGGGAGCCATACCTGCCCATTTGAGGGAAGGAAAAAAGGGACATGGTGGTTCAGGGAGGGTTGAACCAAGTCTGCAAAACTTATGCTCAGCCCACTAAGCTATCTCTCCTGGTAATCAAAGATAAGAAAGAAAGGTGAGAAATAATAAGAAATATGTGTCTGTCTTCCTGATTCCAGTCAAGAGGCCCTTTCAAGGGTTTCAACCCTTGGAATTTTCAGGGCAGGGAGTGTCTCTTATAATTCATACAAGTCCCTTTGATCACATCAGGGCTTATGCTAATAAGGTGACATGATTTGAGAGCCCTCCATAGCCTCAGGAGGGGACAGGTCACCAGGAAGTCTGTGCAATTAGAGGGTAGGACTTTTCAGCCCCACCTACTAACCTCTGGGTAATTGTTTTTTATTCTTTAAAATGTACTGTTACAATATATTTGTTATAAAATAAAAACCAAAATAGACATGAAATAATGAAGGAGGATCAATTCCATATCCAGGCTTATGAAATGTTACATAAAGATTCAAATTACCGAACAGGGGCTTTAAAACAGAGGATAAGGAGTTTGCCTTAAGTGAGGCTCAACCACAGTATGATCACCAGCACTGAATATGGTCCCCTGGACACCACTAGAGGTCACTCCTGAGCACCACTGGTGCCCCCACTCCCCCTCACCTCCACCCTGTCTTGCCAAATCACTGAATAACATTTCTTTCAAAGTCCTTTTGGAGGGAGGCCACCTCCAATGGTGCTCAGGGTTACTTTTGGATCAGTGCTCAGTAGTTACCTCTGATGGTGCTTGGTGGACCATATACAGTGCTGGGGACAGAACTCGGATCAACCACTAGCACCTTAACCTCTCTTGCCCGTCTTTAAAAATCATTTTAAGTGGGGCCAGAGTGATAGCACAGTAGAGAGGGTGTTTGCGTTGCATGCAGCCAACCTAGGTTCAATCCCCCGTATCTCATATGGTCCCTTGAGCACCGGCAGGAGTCATTCCTGAGTGCAGAGCCAGGAGTAACCCCTGAGCATCGCCTGATGTGACCCAAAAAGCCAAAAAAAAAAAAAAAAACTAATTTTAAATGAATCAGTGAACTGTTAAGAAAATCTAGGAAGCTCCAAAATCATGATGAGTAAAAGCAGAAACCCAGAGAGCTAAGTTTGCTCTAGCTGGTTTTTCTCTGGAGGACTATCACTGACCTTCACAAGAAAAGAGCTGAGTGGGCCCAGGAGGTCATTCAAAGGGCTAGAGTTTGTACTTGCAGGAGGCAGCTCGATCAGCAGTGCAGGGTCTCTGAAGCACCCGCAGGTGACCCTGCTTGCCCCCGACTTCACAGGAGACACCTCTAGTTCCCTGAGTGCTGCCTGGGCAATACATAAAGAGAAAAGAGAGGAAAGAGAAGTGGAGCTTGTGAGACCAGAAAGAGGTGGACCAAGAGCTGCGGCTGCTCTGGCTGCTGATCGAGCTGCTTATCGGCCATGATCCCAGAGACTTAGAAACAAAGCTTGGAACTCAGTGGCTTTTGGCAGAAATCCATCTGGACTACACATTAGGTTTCTGGCACCGGACCACACCAGGTGGAACTGGGTTTCATGCCTTGGCCTATTTTCCTTGACGACTCACTCGCCACCGCCATCTTCCAGAGGCCTAGGGACAGCCAGGGAGGGGCCCACAGTGATGAGGAACTCCAGGCCTCATGGGATGAGGGAGGAGTCGGCCCTCCCCTCCCCCCATGAGACCCCCGAGTTGCCGCCCACAAATGAGCCCTCTGGCTGCTGATCGAGCTGCTTTTCGGCCATGATCCCAGAGACTCAGAAACAAAGCTCAGAACACAGTGGCTTTTGGCAGAAATCCCTCCAGATTAAATCATTAAAACTTCAGAATTCCAAAATTTTGCAGCTATCGTGGTGGCGCGTCATCATGTGCAATTCATAATCAGCAACAGAAAACAAATTGTCTAATGTTGCCTTTTCA